CCTAGTCTTATATCCCAGGAGTTTTTCAACTCCCTTCGTCACAAGATAGCCGAGGCCCCAACCGATCGTAAGAAGCATTTTTACTGCTCTGGAAATACTAAAATCACTCTCTGAAATTGTCTGTCTCGAAATGTTCTTCCTCCAACCAAGTTGAAAAGCAAACTGAGGATTCTTGTATTCCAAATGATGATAATAATCTTTTGAAGCTTTATGACATCATCGATGAGAACATCAATGACATGATGATGTCAAACAACCATGTGTCAGGTTCTTGTTGGTTTTTAGTTGCTATGGAAACACAATGTATGATGTAAGACCACAGTCAATTAAAAATCCATTCGTAGACATCTAAATTCGTGAATGTAAGTCAATAAATGTGCATAAATTTAGGTTTTGTATTTGTCCTGTTTTCCAACTCATACATACGTGTAGAAATCAATTATTTTACCTATGAGAATACCCATAAATAAATATTAATACAAATAAAAATACTTGTATTAACAAGTATTTTAGATAGGTTTTATGGAGAGAGTATTTTTCCAGAAGTTCGACACACATCAGTCACATTTAGAAACTGGCTCTAAGCCATCTGCTTGATCTGTTTTGAATTGAGTGAGGAGGATCCTCTTAAACTTATCATGTCTTGCCTTATTTGCTTGCTCTGTTCATAAGGAAAACATTTAACAACATCTAATAATTACATTGTTATTATTATTATTATTATTATTACTATTTTACATTTGAACTCAGTGACAAGAATGATGCACTACTGAGATGTGACTTTTTTTCTTCAGAATGCCTTCGATGTGTTGGGCTTTACTCAAGAAGAAAAAAACTCAGTGTACAAGCTCACTGGTGCCATCATGCACTATGGCAACATGAAGTTTAAGCAGCGGCCTCGCGAGGAGCAAGCAGAGGCCGATGGCACCGAGGGTGAGAAAAGAACTCTGAAATTTGTAAGCATGCAGAAACTTGATGTGTATTCAGCATTGCTGTTTGTGTGTTTTTTTTAGATGCTGACAAATCAGCGTATCTGATGGGCCTAAACTCTGCTGACCTCATCAAAGGTCTCTGTCACCCAAGAGTCAAAGTGGGGAATGAGTGGGTCACCAAGGGACAAAATGTTGCCCAGGTAAAACAAAAAGACAGCCTTAAAACAGTTTAATTTGTGGGTTTGTATATAATATCTCCATTTTATATTCTCTGAGGCAAATATACTCCAAACTAAACTTGAACCTTTCTTTTTTAAATGTGGCTTACGGTCCATTTCACAGGTGTACTATGCTGTTGGAGCTTTGTCCAAAGCTGTTTATGAGAAGATGTTTCTGTGGATGGTCATGAGAATCAACCAGTCACTGGAGACAAAGCAGCCTCGTCAGTACTTCATTGGAGTGCTGGACATTGCTGGGTTTGAGATCTTTGATGTAAGTTATCTTGCTTGCAAATAATGATCAGATCTACAAGTAATCTAAATGGAACAATTAACGTATTTTCTTTCTTTTTTAGTTCAACACATTTGAGCAGCTGTGCATCAACTTCACCAATGAAAAACTGCAACAGTTTTTCAACCACCACATGTTTGTGCTGGAGCAGGAAGAGTACAAGAAAGAGGGGATTGAATGGACTTTCATTGACTTTGGTATGGATCTGCAGGCCTGTATTGACCTGATTGAAAAGGTGAGAATCAGAATATTAAATATATGGAGAAAGTAAAAGGTCATTTGTGTTTCAAACCACTTTCATTACCCTTTCAGCCCATGGGAATCATGTCCATCCTCGAAGAGGAGTGCATGTTTCCCAAAGCCTCTGATGCTACATTTAAAGCTAAGCTTTATGACAATCATCTGGGAAAATCGAGCAACTTCCAGAAACCCAGGATTGTTAAAGGCAAACCAGAGGCCCATTTTGCCCTGGTCCACTATGCTGGAACTGTTGATTATAATATCAACAACTGGCTGGTGAAGAACAAGGATCCTCTGAATGAGACCGTTGTTGGGCTGTACCAGAAGTCTACACTCAAGCTGCTTGCTACTCTCTTTGCAAATTATGCAGGAGCCGATTCAGGTATTCCACCATGAGTATTTTGCTTTGTAGAAAATGGATAAGCATAGCATGCTTGCATTAACGTAAAATACTAATTCTACGCATTTCACATTAAAGCAATGTCTGAAGCCAGTGAGGGTAAAAAAGAAAAGAAGAAGAAAGGATCATCGTTTCAGACCGTGTCTGCTCTCCATAGGGTAGAGTATGCATTACTTCATTTCCGGTAAATGTATGGCTTAAAAATCCAAATTCTATATATTTTTGCATATCCATATTACAGGAGAACCTGAATAAGTTAATGACCAATCTGAGGTCTACCCACCCTCACTTTGTACGCTGCATCATCCCCAACGAGACCAAGACTCCTGGGGCCATGGAGAATCCTCTGGTGATGCACCAGCTGCGCTGTAATGGTGTGCTGGAAGGCATCAGGATCTGCAGGAAAGGCTTCCCCAACAGGATCCTCTATGGGGACTTCAAGCAGAGGTATTACCTTACTATGTAGCTTAGTACGTCCCACAAGCCTTACTCTGCAAAGTCCAGCTAAGAAATATATAATTTCCCAGATATCGTATCTTGAATCCTGCTGCCATACCTGAGGGACAGTTCATTGACAGCAGGAAGGGAGCCGAAAAACTTCTCGGATCTCTTGATATTGATCATAACCAGTACAAGTTTGGGCACACAAAGGTACCGCCTGGATTTTCTAAGACAAAAGAGAACAAAAGATATGAAATACGACACAGACGGGCAAAAATAGGTAACTTTTTAAAATTAAATGCCACATTTAGGTGTTCTTCAAGGCTGGACTGCTGGGTCTACTCGAGGAGATGAGAGATGAGCGTCTTTCCAAAATCATCACTGCAATTCAAGCCAGGTCTCGTGGTCTTTTGTCTCGCATAGAGTATCAGAAGATGGTGGAGCGCAGGTTTGTTTCATTCAACTTACAATGTTCTTTACACATTACACAGTTATCTGCTTGTGGTCATATTTTCAATAAAAGTGTTTTAATATAAATAAATAAATATATATATATATATATATATATATATATATATATATATTTTTTTTTTTTTTTTTTTTTTTTTTTTTTTAAAAAGGGGGTCCCTTTTTGGTATCCCTGGGAAACCTCCTGCCTTCTTGGNCCCCTCTATACACCAATCCTAATTCAGATCATTATAAAAAATTTATCACATTCAATTTCGAATTCTCTTAGACCTACTCTGGGCTGTTCTGTGTGACTGTCAACCCCTACAAGTGGCTGCCAGTCTACAACCAAGAGGTGGTCGTTGCCTACAGAGGAAAGAAGAGGAGCGAAGCTCCTCCTCACATCTTCTCCATCTCTGACAATGCCTACCAGTACATGCTGACAGGTCATTTATTTTCAATGAACATCACATTGTCAGTTGAGTTAAGGTAAAAAAGAGTAAGCCCTTCAGTAATCCTTTCTTCTCTTTTTTCAGACAGAGAAAATCAGTCCATTCTCATCACGTATGTTAACAATTAATTTGTAATCCTCAAAAATACCATGTTGTCAGAACTTTGGTAAAATGTAGATTTTCTGCTCTTGTTTCTGCCTTTATTTCAGCAAAAATGTGATTGGTACTGCATCTTCAGAAAATATTTTTTTAGTAGGGAACACAGTACCTTCCTCAAGAATTCAAACACTGAACTTTTCCCATTCTAATTACAATAAAGCACAATGTTCTTTGTATTTCACTAGGATTTTAAATGATAGACCTTCAAGATTTTATAACAACTAAAAGTCAGAAAGGTGGAGTATGCAGTTCCCATTAACCAATATTATATAGGACCAACTTTCTCTACAGTTTAGGCTCCTAGTCTTTTGGAATATGTCTGTGCCAGCTTTACACCTTTTGCAAAGCTGCTACAGACGTTTTGCTCGTTCTTTTGCATGAAGTAGCTCATGCTCAGTCAGATTGCATGGATTATCTCTAGACATAAGTTTTCAACTCCTGTCAGAAATTCCTTAATTAAACTTCAGTTGAACTTTGACTGGACCACTGAATAACATGGGTATGGTTTGCTGAAAACAGCTCAACTGTAGCTCACTCCATCCAGCTTTCCAACTCTGATCAGATGCTCAGATCCTGATCCCATAACATAATGCTGGTACCATAATTCTGTTTATGATGTCCTCTGAATGGCTTGTAGCAAACTACCAACATGACCTCTTATGGCTTTCTGTCTTCTTGACAGTCTTCTATAAATACCAGATTTGCACAGAGCACAACTACCAGCTAGCCTGTCAAATAATTCTCTTAGCTGAGCTGTGGATCTCTGCAGCTGTCATGGAATTACCATGGGTCTCTTAGCTGCTTCTAAATAACTCCCTTCTCAACATGCTTGTGAGTTTAGATAGACAACCATGTCTTGGTAGGATTGCATCCCTGCTATGCTCTTTCAGTGTTTAGATAGAGGACTGGACAGAGCTTTGTGAGATGTCCAAACCTGGGATTGTTTTATGATCTCGGCTTTAAGCGCCCCCATAAATGCATCACAACAGTGTTTGTTCAATAGTGTTCAATAGTGATAAATCCTTGGAGGTTTTATCCAGATCAGTTATATTTATACCGAGATTGATTATACAGAGGCAGACTTTACTTACTGATTAGGTGTCTAATGAATGCAGTTGGTTGCCAACAAAGGTACAAATGTATGGTACACTTTTCACATTTTCCTCTCTTTTCCTATCCCTCTTCACATACACTACTCTCTGTTGGTCTATCACACAAAATCCCGATAAATACATAGAAGGTTGTGATAGTGAAATGATTAAATGTTTTAAAAAAGGTTAAGAACATGTTTACAAGTAACCATATCATATGTATTACATTGATTAGTTCGTTTTAGTTTGATAATAGTGGATGTGAAGCTGTGTTATTATTTATAGCGTTGGATGCCATCTTTTCCACCTAATAAAGCCTTTTGCTTTGTGTCTTCAGTGGAGAATCTGGTGCTGGGAAAACTGTTAACACCAAGAGAGTCATTCAGTACTTCGCCAGCATTGCAGCTGGAGGTGGGAAAAAGGACACAGGCTCTGAGAAAAAGGTGATACTTCTGAATTTGCAGACTGTCAGCCTTTAGACGCACGTTTGCACTTCTTTAACAGCAAGTTTCATTTTGGTAGGGTACATTGGAGGATCAAATCATCCAATGCAACCCAGCATTAGAGGCCTTTGGGAATGCAAAAACCATCAGAAATGATAACTCTTCCAGATTTGTAAGTTCCTCTCTGTAAAGACTCTTCTCCCATTGCATAAATCACAATATAACTTTTCTTCTCATCTTGTGTTTTAGGGAAAATTTATCCGTATTCATTTTGCAGCCAGTGGAAAGCTGGCTTCAGCTGATATTGAGACATGTAAGTGGTGCCTTCTTTTTATTTAAGTTTGCTTTTACATCCAAAATGACTGTCATTCTACCTGCATGATGCAAATCCCTTTACAGATCTGCTAGAGAAGTCCAGAGTAACCTTTCAGCTTAAGGCTGAGAGAGATTACCACATCTTCTATCAAATTCTGTCTCAGAAGAAGCCTGAGCTGCTTGGTATATAAAAACATCACATTTTCAAATCAGTACAAATTGATTTCGCATCATTGCATAATGTACTTATAAGTCATTTTTTTGGCTTACTTTACAGAAATGCTCCTCATTACAAACAACCCCTATGACTACGCCTTCATCTCCCAAGGAGAGACGACGGTAGCCTCCATCAATGATGCAGAAGAGCTGCTCGCAACTGATGTGAGTAGGAGTTACTTTACAGAGTAATTAGAATATTTGATACATAATATTGTACTATAACTTCATTTTAGAGCAGGTATTATATATGGTTTATATGATCCAGCAAATACTTAATCCCATAGGTAAAAAAACATTTTCTTTTATACAGGAGGCCTTTGATGTATTGGGCTTCACTCAAGAGGAGAAGAACGGCATTTACAAACTGACTGGTGCCATTATGCACTTTGGTAACATGAAGTTCAAGAACAAGCAGCGTGAAGAGCAGGCCGAGGCAGATGGCACTGAAGGTGAGAGAGGAGTTCTATAACTTGGAAACTTGTTAGGAAAATTATGTTAATTAATCTATAATTCATGTTTTTAATTTTAGATGCTGACAAATCAGCTTACCTGATGGGCCTGAACTCTGCTGACCTCATCAAAGGTCTCTGTCACCCCAGAGTCAAAGTAGGGAATGAGTGGGTCACCAAGGGACAAAATGTTCAACAGGTAGGGATTAAACACAGCCAGCTAAATCACCTTCTATTATTTACATGGAGACTCGTCACACATTATGCATAGACCACGCACACTGGAATATGAACATTACTGTTTTTTTTTAAAGTTTATATTTCTTTATTTTTAGGTGTATTATGCGGTTGGAGCTCTGGCTAAGGCAGTGTATGAGAAGATGTTCCTGTGGATGGTGGTGAGAATCAACCACTCACTCGACACCAGGCAGCCTCGCCAGTACTTCATTGGAGTGCTGGACATTGCTGGATTTGAGATCTTTGATGTGAGACTCATCTACTCATAATTTTACTATATGTGCAACACCTGGAAAGCAATGCTGGTAAGAAGGATGAGTACTAAAAAATATTGTTGTCAACTTCCAGTTCAATACATTCGAGCAGCTGTGCATCAACTTCACCAACGAAAAACTGCAACAGTTTTTCAACCACCACATGTTTGTGCTGGAGCAGGAAGAGTACAAGAAGGAGGGGATTGAATGGACTTTCATTGACTTTGGTATGGATCTGCAGGCCTGTATTGACCTGATTGAAAAGGTGAGAATCAGAACATTAAATATACGGAGAAAGTAAAAGGTCATTTGTGTTTCAAACCACTTTCATTACCCTTTCAGCCCATGGGTATCATGTCCATCCTCGAAGAGGAGTGCATGTTTCCCAAAGCCTCTGATGCTACATTTAAAGCTAAGCTTTATGACAATCATCTGGGAAAATCGAGCAACTTCCAGAAACCCAGGATTGTTAAAGGCAAACCAGAGGCCCATTTTGCCCTGGTCCACTATGCTGGAACTGTTGATTATAATATCAACAACTGGCTGGTGAAGAACAAGGATCCTCTGAATGAGACCGTTGTTGGGCTGTACCAGAAGTCTACACTCAAACTGCTTGGTACTCTCTTTGCAAATTATGCAGGAGCCGATTCAGGTAAAGGGACTTTCTTTCAGAACTAAGATTGAAAAAGTTATTTCTGTTTGTCTGTGTTTGTCTAATATATAGACTTTTGTAATGCTAAATAGCTGAAAGTGGAAAAGGGGGCAAAGGAGGAGGGAAGAAGAAGGGATCATCCTTTCAAACTGTATCTGCCCTTCACAGGGTAAGTAAAGTCAAATATCTGAGAGTCAAAACTGATTTCCACTCAGTAATTCAGATATTTTGATGTTAACACAGACTAAATGTTCAGCATTGTATTTAATGTCATGCACAGGAGAACCTGAATAAGTTGATGACCAACCTGAGGTCTACCCACCCCCACTTTGTACGCTGCATCATCCCCAACGAGACCAAGACTCCTGGGGCTATGGAGAACCCTCTGGTGATGCACCAGCTGCGCTGTAATGGTGTGCTGGAAGGCATCAGGATCTGCAGGAAAGGCTTCCCCAACAGGATCCTCTATGGGGACTTCAAGCAGAGGTATTACCTTACTATGTAACTTAGTACGTCCCACAAGCCTTACTCTACAATGTCCAGTTAAATATATGATTTCCCAGATATCGTATCTTGAATCCTGCTGCCATCCCTGAGGGACAGTTTATTGACAGCAGGAAGGGAGCCGAAAAACTTCTCGGATCTCTTGATATTGACCATAACCAGTACAAGTTTGGGCACACTAAGGTAAATAAAACACTAAAAGTCAGAACTACAGACCAAAAGTTGTATTTACCATTCAATAGACTGCAGGAAATGATTTGTAGTGATTCCATATATATTAGTAGTTGAAGTTTAAGATGACACTCTAAGTCTATTCCAATTTTGGGACGTATTCGATTAACAATTTCATAACTAAAAAGGTTGTTGCAAGACAGAGTTGTCTCTCGAAGGTTACAAATACATTGTACAGGTATCTTAATAAATAGTACATATTTACATCTTCTTCCATGTCCTTAAAGGTGTTCTTTAAAGCTGGTCTTCTTGGTCAACTGGAGGAGATGAGGGACGATCGCTTGTCACTCATTATCACTGGAATCCAGGCGAGATCTAGAGGTTTACTTGCAAGAGTTGAATTCCAGAAGATTGTCGAAAGAAGGTATGGACTGAGACCTTTAAAATAACATAAAATACAAGAACTTCACAACTTTAAAATTACTATAACAACAGGAATTCATTTTTTACAGGGATTCGCTACTCGTAATCCAGTGGAACATCCGCGCCTTCATGGGGGTCAAGAATTGGCCCTGGATGAAGTTGTACTTCAAGATCAAACCTCTCCTGAGATCTGCTGAAGCAGAAAAGGAGATGGCCAACATGAAGGAAGAATTCCTGAAACTGAAAGAGGCCTATGCAAAATCTGAAGCTCGCAGAAAAGAGCTGGAGGAGAAAACTGTCTCTCTTCTTCAGGAGAAAAATGACCTGCAGCTCCAGGTCCAAGCTGTAAGTCTCCCAGCATCACGTGTATTCACAATAAGACAAAACATATTTGTATTGACTATTGCTGCTCAAACAATTTTATAAATATAATGACCATTTAGGAGCAAGATAATCTTGCTGATGCAGAGGAGAGGTGTGAGGGGCTGATCAAACACAAAATTCAAATGGAAGCAAAAGCCAAAGAGCTTTCTGAGAGACTGGAGGACGAAGAGGAAATAAATGCTGAATTGACAGCTAAGAAGAGGAAGCTGGAGGATGAATGCTCTGAGTTAAAGAAGGATATTGATGACTTGGAGCTAACTCTAGCAAAAGTGGAGAAAGAGAAGCATGCTACTGAGAACAAGGTCCGGAATTGTGACTTTGTATTATAGTTAAAACAAACGGGAACTATTTAGTGAATAATCCAAGTTTTAATTTTCTTATTTGCTTAATTTACAGGTAAAAAATCTTGTTGAAGAGATGGCTGCTTTGGATGAAATCATTGCCAAACTCACAAAGGAGAAAAAAGCTTTACAGGAAGCTCATCAACAAACCCTGGATGACCTGCAGAGTGAGGAAGACAAAGTCAACACTCTGACCAAGGCCAAGGCAAAGCTGGAGCAGCAAGTGGATGATGTGAGACTTTAATGGTCAAATGTCAGAATTCCAACTAATGTACACATCTGTTAGGATAACAAAGATTACTGTCTAATTTTTAAATAATTGTCAGCTTGAGGGATCTCTTGAGCAAGAGAAGAAGATTAGACTGGACCTCGAGAGAGCAAAAAGAAAGCTGGAGGGAGACTTAAAGTTGACTCTGGAAAGTCTAATGGACGTTGAGAATGACAAGCAACAACTTGAAGAGCGTCTCAAAAAGTAAGAATATTTGAACAACTTATTTGATCTAAACAAATAATCTAAAAATATACCCAATATGCTGGATTTATAAATTTGCTTTTTCAAAACAGGAAAGACTTTGAACTAAGTCAACTGAATAACAAAATTGAGGATGAACAAGCTATTGCCATTCAGCTTCAGAAGAAACTGAAAGAACTTCAAGTAATCAATAGGCCATAACGCATTTGAAAAGTAGGCAAAACAATGAATAAAGTCTGTAAACATAAGAATTATCTTCCAACAGGCCCGCATTGAAGAGCTGGAGGAAGAGCTTGAAGCAGAACGAGCTGCTCGAGCCAAGGTGGAGAAGCAGAGAGCAGATTTGGCTAGAGAGTTAGAGGAGATCAGTGAGAGACTGGAGGAGGCTGGAGGAGCAACAGCCGCCCAGATTGAGATGAACAAGAAGAGGGAGGCCGAGTTCCAGAAACTCCGCAGAGACCTCGAAGAGGCCACCCTGCACCACGAAGCCACTACTGCCACACTCAGGAAGAAACAAGC